AGAGAATGAGGTCTCGCTGCCCAGGCGGGTCTCAAACCCGCAAGGCTCAGGCAATTCCACTCACCTCAGCCTCCCAAAGGCGCGGGATTACAGGCTGAGCCACCGAGCCCGGCTGGTTTTCTGTTTTGACTGTGGGGCAAAGATCCTGGAAGTGGTTAAAAAGAATGAGCATAGGTATTAGGACTGAAGTTACTTCAGAAAACTGAAGCTAGTCTGTCTCTCTTTGTTCTTGAAAATAGTCTCTGCTCTTCCCTCATGTATCTGTTTCTCCTTCCCCAACCATCTTCTTTACCTCCTCTTCCTTTTCAATTTAAGATTGTACTGAAGTATGCTTTCTTTAATCTGTTGCATTTATTCATTAACTGAACAAACATGTTTTAAGTACCCACTATGTACCAGATACATGCAGGAAAACAGAGATGAGTGAAATAGACACCGTCCCCACCATCATAGGGCTTCAGTCTAGTGAGGAAGATAGGCTATCAAATAAGCAATTGCAATCTGTAAAATGCAGCTTACAAAACATGCATAGCATGCTTCTTTTCGGTTAATTAAAAAAATTAAAATGGTATTCATTAAGTAGACATTTTCAGTCAGGTGACTTATAGTGTTCAATGTCTCTAAAACAAAACTAGGCTGTTTTTATAGTCACAAGGCTCCTGATTATTTTGTTTATTTGGGGTCAATGGTTCTAGATTGGAGGAAAGGAAGTTGACTACTTTGTGCTTATATGATACAAGATAAAACACAAAAATTTGTAAAAATACAAATTTACATTGTAGTAATAAAGTCTTGCTGGACTTGACAGCTAATGCCTGTACTTACAGCATTTTGGGGGGCAGAGGCAAGAGGATTGCCTGAGTCCAGGGGTTGGAGATTAGCCTGGGTGCTGGCAAGGCCTCATCTCTACAATACATCAAAAAATTAGCCAGGCATGCCTGTGGTTCCAGCTACTTGGAAGGCTGAGGTGGAAGGATCACCTGGGTCCAGCAGGTCGAGGCTGCAGTGGCTATGAACATGCCACTGCACTCCAACCTAGGCAACAGAGTAAGACTCTGACTCAATAAATAAATAAATATTAAATAAAATCTTAACTTGCTTCTTATCTCCTTTCTAAAAACTCTAAATGATTGGCTGAATCTTTAGATTCTTTCTCACTCCAGTTTCCATTCCCTGAATTTCACTTTCCTTTTCTCAAAACTGTTTATTTCCATTTTTTTCACAGGAATGGTGACAATTGATCCATTTCCCATGACAAGTATATTTTACGATATTCACAGTGAAAAGTCTGGAAGGATATAAAATGTTGTTATGGCTAAGTAAATTAGACAAGGATTAGTAGCAAGAGGAAATTTCAAGAAAAGTAACAGTTAAGTCGTTTAAAAAAAAAACAAAAAACTTCTTTTAACTGGCAAGGAACGCAACAGTGTAACCACACTAGTCGTAATGTTTCCTGAGATGGATTATATGTACTTTCAACATAAACTCACTTCCTGATCATGAGTTATGTGATACCCTTGGGATAACTTATCTTTGTCATTTTAGCACCTTGCTTACAGCCAGTGGCTCAATAAACATTAGTTCTACTTAACAGCACTGTAAATTGCACAACAAACATCTATTGAACATTTTATGGGCAATTTTTAAGAAATCACCAGAACACAGTAGCCGTGAGTGTGCCACTGCACTCTAGCCTAGGCAAAACAGTAAGACTCCAACTCAAAAAAATAAAACCAGAACAAATCCCCAAACAAGAGAGAAAGCCTTCTATAATGAATTAAGGGATAAAAGTAAAAACAGAAACAGTTTATTAGGTGAAGGTTATTTCCCTCTATAAATAATCCAGACTTAAAGCTCTGCCATGGCAAATTCCCGCAGCTGTATGAGTGGTTATCACTGCTCACAGATCTCAGAGATGATAAAGATCCAAGATGTGGCAGAGACTTCTGCTTGCCTGCTGATAGCCACATCTTCCCTCCCTCCTCAGTAACAAGAGCCCAATTTCCTTGAGGGCATCCAAGCATCCAGCTACATTCCTCTGCTACCTTGTAGCCTTAGCTTTGGTTCAGTAATTCTTTGGAGAAAACGCAGGCATCCCTCTTTGCCTCCACCTTGCTGCCTGGAACTTAGTTGTGATAGTTAGAGCTCTGGCGGCTCTCTTGAGCTATGGGCACTAGGGCCGTACCTTAGGGATAGCAAATCAAAGAATGGAAAGAAGCTTAGGTCTCTGATGACTTTATAAAGCCACTATATCTACTCTAGACTGCCTACTGCAAGAATTATTTTATATAAGAAAATAAATATTGCATATTTAAACCATCAAGTCTGGTTTTGGTTTTGTTGTTATTGTTGTTCTTTTCCTTTCTTGTATCATGTAGTGTGGTAGTAGTTGTTTTTTTTCCTTTTTTGTAACCAAATGCAATTGTTAACTGAGCACTTACCTTTAGGCAGGAAAAAAATGTGTATCTCTTCTTTTTACAGCTGAGGCAACCAAGATCCAGAAAGGTAAGATGACTTGCACAATACCAAGTGAGTGAAGAGATGGGTCCTGGCTCTTAGACTAATGTTTTGTTTTGTTTTTACTGGAAACTGACTTTTAACCAGTTCTAAATGCAAAAAAAAAGAAAGACATAAAATTTAGCCTTAGTAGAGTGGTAATGGCACATGATAGTGTACGTATTTGTCACATAAAGTAAAAAGGTAACAAATTTTTATGGTGTAGAAGGAAACTAAGTTACATCATATTCCAGTGGGGAAGAGAGATAAATGAAATAAACATAATAAAAGACTAGAATAACCAAAGATATGGATTTATTATGCCCGAGTTTTACCATATTGCCCCTCTCTTAAATAATTAAAAGAAATTCAAAGTAACAGCTTATTTTTCTCATGCCTATAGCCCAAGCACTTTGGGAGGCAGAGGCAAGAGGATTGATTGCCTGAGTCCAGGGATTCGAGACCAGCTTGGGCAACTTGGCGAGACCATGTCTCTACAATAAAACAAAAAGTTAGCCAGGCATGGTGGCGTGCGCCTGTAGTTCCAGCTACTTGGAAGGCTGAGGTGGAAGGATTGCCTGAGCCCAGCAGGTCGAGGCTGTGGTAGCCATGAGTGTGCCACTGCACTGCAGCCTGAGAGAGAAAGATTGCTTTCACAAAACTTTTATTAGAGTACATTGTTTTTGTTTTTGAGTTAGAGTCTCACTCTGTCACCCAGATTGGGCTCGGGCAATCCACCCGCCTCAGCCTCCCAAAGTGCTGGGATTACAGGTGCCAAGCCCGGCCAGAGTACACTGTTATAATATTCTATTTTATTATGTTATTGTTAATCTCTTACTGTGTCTAATATATAAATTAAGGTTTATCATAGGTATGCATATGTAGCAAGAAACATCATGCATACAGAGCCTGGTGCTATCTGTGGTTTCAGGCATCCACCGAGGGTCTTGGAATGGATCCCCCCAGGATAAGTGAGGGCTACTGTACTCTAATACAGCTCCTCTTTTTATAAAAGGCTATAAATGCAGAAGAAAGTTAACTGAATGGCCAGGATGATTTGGCAGAAGCAGAATTGGAATCTGGCCATGAAATCCTTAATATATTTTTCACCACATTGTGGTTTTCAAAAACTTTTAGACTGCAAGTCATTAAAGTGATTGAGACTTTTCCTTGGATAAGTTATTTGAAATTGTTAGGGGCCTGCTTTTAAATTCTGTCAAGGTCTCGCTCTGTGGCCCTTGCTGGAGTGCAGGAGCATGATCATTGCTCACCGCAGCTTCAACCCCTGGGATCAGGCAACCTTTCCACCTCAGCTTCATGAGTAGTTGGGGCTACAGGTGCATGTCACCATGCCTGGATACTTTTTTGATTATTTTGTAGAGATGAGGTCTTGCCATGTTATCTAGCCTGGTCTTGAACTCCTTGGGTTCGAGCAATCTATCTGCCTTGGCATCCCAAAGTACTGGGATTACAGGTGTGAGCCACCAGACCCAGTCCAGGATTATTTTCAATACATTTTAAAATCCTACACTTGATTCTTCTACCAACCCAATACTCAAAAAGGTATTTTGTACACTGCAGCCATCAAAAGGGTCCTTAGGCCATGGAAAGCAAAGTCAGTGGTAGTCTAATTAATACAATATTAGCTTAGCAGGTCGACGGAGATTCACAACATATTCCAAAACAAAAAGACACTAAAAATGATCATGTTACTAATAGTCCATAGAAGTGCCCATAATTAATATCTAGTGTTTTGAAAAGTGCCCTAATTGCCTTAAATGTGCATTTCATTTCAACTGATATTTACCAAGCACAAGCCAACTTGGCAAAAAGCACGCTGCCACGGGGTGCAGTGGCTCACACTTGTAATCCCAGGACATGGGGAGACAAAGGCAAGAGCATTGCCTGAGCCCATGAGTTCGAGACCAGCCTGGGCAACTTGGTGAAACCTCATTTCTACAATAAAGTTTAAATATTAGCCAAGCATGGTAGCGCATGCCTGTGGTTCCAGCTACTTGGAAGACTGAGGTGGAAGGATCACCTGAGCCCAGCAGGTTGAGGCTGCAGGGGTCGTGAGTGTGCCTCTGCACTCCAACCTGGGTAACAGAGTGAGACTCCAACTCAGAAAAAAAAAAGCATGCCACAGGGGTATATACAAAATGTGTGATATGAGCAATAACTACCTTGAGAGAAGAAAGGTAAACACCACACACGTTCAATTCTTGGAAGATGGGTAAAACTCACATAGAGAAAGCGTGAGTAGCCACAGGAAGACAGAAATGAATTTTTGCCTTCTGCTAGAAAGTTAGATCAAATCACAGAGTTTGAGGACCAAGATGGGACATAGAAATTTCCATGATGCCGGACTCGGTGGCTCAGCCTGTAATCCCACGCCTTTGGGAGGCTGAGGTGAGTGGATTGCCTGAGCCCGCGGGTTTGAGACCCGCCTGGGCAACTTGGCGAGACCTCATCTCTACAATAAATCAAAAAATTATTAGCCGGGCGTGGTAGCACGTGCCTGTAGTTCCAGCTACTTGGAAGGCTGAAGCGGAAGGATCGCCGGAGCCCAGCAGGTCGAGGCTGCGGTGGCCGGGAGCGACCACTGCACTCCAGTCTGGGTGACAGAGTGAGACTCCAACTCAAAAAAAAAAAGAAAAAAAGACATTTCCATGTTCACCCTAATCATGAGAGTGATATTGAGACTTCATTTCTAATTCTTTTTATTTTTTGTTTGTTTATTTATTTATTTATTTTGAGTCGGAGTCTTACTCTGTCGCCCAGAGTGGAGTGCAGTGGCCCCTCCCGGCCACCGCAGTCTCGACTTGCTGGGTTCTGGTGATCCTTCCGCCTCAGCCTTCCAAGTAGCAGGAACTACAGGCATGCGCTACCACGCCTGGCTGATTTTTTGATTTGTTGTAGAGATGAGGTCTTGCTGCCCAGGCGGGTCTCGAACTCGCGGGCTCAGGCAATCCACTCACCTCAGCCTCCCAACAGCGCGGGATTACAGGCTGAGCCACCGAGCCCGGCTTCATTTCTAATTCTAAATTTCCATAATTTTATTTTAATTTTGAGCATATTAACTAAGGAACATTTGTTGAAATATCTGTTTAACATTTGTTAAGACTGTTCAAGGTTCAAAAAACAATTCTTTTCCTTAAAGCAACTAGCTCATCAATTCTTTAAACTTTCCTCTGGGAAAGTCCACAATCTCCTTCAAATAAAACTGACTATATTTGCATTTAACACCTTCCCCCTTTTTTGAATCAAGTAAATATTTTAGTGTTCATATTCGTGCATGGACTTGGCAGAGCCTTTAATACAAGCCTTAGATGGTAGCACCTGCTCATTCAATTGTGTAAAACGTACATTATTCAATTTAGGAGCTTAGTGGACACAGAATTTCAAGGGGTTTTGCCTCCCCAAAATCAGAATAATGCTTCACGTTCATTCTCGCTCCCTCATATTCGCTCCTTCTCTCTCCCTCTCCTCCTCTCTCATAATGTAAAATCATTGCCATTTAGGACCGTTGCCATCACCAACCACAATAACCACATTGGCTCAGAGTTATCACTTAGCAGGTGCAACGAGCAAGTACTCTCTCATCTCCTGAAACCAGAAGGGCTCATCTCGCAACTAATTTGCCACTTAAAAGAAAAGGATACTCTCACTGCCACGAACTTTCTCCGAAGTGTCAGGGGCTGCCGGCTTCACGGGACCCGCAGGGAGGCAGGACTCCCGGGCCTAGTTTCGCTCCGCGGCGCGGGGGACCACCAGCCGGGCACTGGTGGGCACACCCTCCTCACTGGTGGGCGCCTCCCTCGCCCAGCGACCCGCCAAGCCCAGGCTGGACTCGGTCCCCACCTGTCCCCGCCAGGACCCAGCCACCCTCCCCGACTCCGAAAAA